GGGAATTTCAAAAAAATACATACAGAGTGTTGTTTTCTAGACTTGCACAAAAAATTTACAATTTTTGCAGTCCGGACCTGGATTTTTTTGCTGTCATACATGCATACATGAAGTATCGTGAGTGCATTAACCCTACCAAATATGAATCCATTATTCCATTCCCTACCAAAGTTATGACATAAAGTAGTTTTGACCAAAAATCATAAATCACCCTGTATCTCAATAAAGAATGTCCAAGGAGCTATTTCTATAGGCGATCCTAGTTACCACAGATATCCTCTATCTCCTATTAAGCCATATCCCTCTCGTGATGCAACACCCTGTGTAGTATATTCTAAATTTTCGTACTGTTTTCTTCCTTCTTTTTTTTTTAAATGTTCCCCTAATTTTTTCCGTTTCGACGTCGACGTCATTCGATTAAAATGCTACACAACGTTCGTAAATTACAGCTCATTGCTAACTGGAACTCTGTTTTCCCCCCAAATAGGTATACCAGCAGCACTATTATTTTTTTAGACTACCCTGGAGACATCGATGTATTCACTAGATTTGTATTTAGATTGTTGCAGTAAGTATATTGATTTAGTATTTAATATCTTAATGAATGATTAACATATGGCTGAACCATTTTAATTGTAAATAATGTTGCTAACCTTCAAAGAAAGATGCATTTATGAATATATTTCTGCATTCCAATTGCTTCTTCACGTGTCTTTTTAAAAATCGATTTAATGTATATTTGGATAGTAAAAGAAATTATATTATATAGGGTGATTAACAAACGGTGACCAAAAAGAAACCTCGCATTCATTGGTATAAAGTTTTTATCTAGAACGCTTCGTTAATCTTAAAAAAATATTTTTAATTAAATATGTAATTTAAAAACTATTAAGTGCAATAACTTGAAATGGAGCAAATATATTTTTGTAAAAATTGTCCAAAATCTGAGGCATTTTTCTAAAATATAGATGCTCCAGTGCTGGAGATACATGGCATCGGTGGCATATTTCTCTAAACAAAATAGTACGCCACTGCTTTACGGTAACAATCATGATATTTTCGGATTCGTCTTTCAATTTTCTACAAATTACTAATCCCTTATATTTTTCGAAAAGAGCCGGATTTTCGAGTAAAAAACATGAACTGAAAACACACTTCGATATTCAAATAAAATGCGCTTTAAAATTACATAGTAGGATGCGATAGCAACTTTGACATTCTGAGCAGTTAGAAGAAAGAATAAATAATGCTTTTTATTAGATTTAAGCAACAATAAATTTCGAACAAATTACATTTTCGTTATTAGAAAGATGTGCGCCTGTGCTCGAAAAAATGGAGCATTTACTCAAATGAAATCATTAAAATGATGACTAACGTTATTAATTTCTGTATTCGAATAAATAACCGAATAATTAGTGTTTGTCATGTCATTTAAGTAAAAGTGTTTTCATTTCAGTTTTTACTCGAAAATAAGGCGTTTTTCGAAAAACATAAGAGAATAGTAATTCGTAGAAAATTAAAAAACAAATCCTAAAATATCATAACTGTTATCACCACGGTAGCCGGTCGAGCATGCGGTGGCAAGCATTTCTCGGCTAGACTTCCTATTCTGGTCCGGGTTCGATCCCTGGCGTCGGCACTGGCAATGTCGATGGATAATGGGTGTTTGTCCGCGTTTTTTCGAAAGTGTAGCCCCCTTTCGCACAGCCTTTGGCTTTGTATTTGGGGGTTGTCTCATTTCTGTGGTGTGTTTTACGTTTTTTTATATTTTACTGTTCCAAGATTTGTATTTAGGCTTAGCATCTTCGTGATAATGAAGTTTTGGTTAGAATATGTTTTTAGCAAGTTTACTACAAATGCACAAATAATTGTTTATTTCAATCACCAATCACCAAATAATAGTTTACTTTATTATAAAATGAACTACTAAATCTTTGAGGTAAAATATTCTTTAGGGCGCTTTTGCGTCATTAAATTATGTAGGAAAAATGTGCACTTAGAATTAGTAAACATGTTTGACAACTTTAGAAAATGAAGTATTATGTCAGATACATACATACATACATATTTGGAAATAAGTATATCTATTTTATTCTAGATGCGTTTTTCGCTCAATTTTCACAATAAAATCGGTCAAACTACTAATCATTACAGAAAAAAATATCGTCTTAATTATAAATTAAGTTTTTTATTTTAATCTTCTGCATTTATTAAATGTGGAACTTTCGCTTTTCGAAGTTTGAAAATAATGAGAGACATCATCTGTCATACGCGACTACCTCTTTCGTTCGGTCTTTAACGATGGACAATGAATTGGATTTCGCAGCCATTCTTAGCTTGACTGTTTTTGTCACTTAAAAAGAGCGGAGTTTTCACGATTTGCTTTCGGTAGCAGCAAACTTGAATCCGCCCAAAAAGGTAATAAATGTCTAACTAAACCCAATTCCTTTAAAAGACAATAAACGTCCACGAATTTCCGTTCTGTAATGCCGCAGAGTCTGTTTTTTCACTTCCATTTGTCGTACCGGAATGACATATTTATTTCACGAGTTAGTTCAATAGACCAACGTGTTACCTACTTTTAAAATTATATTTAATATTTTGCCAATTGTCTGCCTCTGATAGTTACAGGTGTATATCAAATTTTACGTTATTTTAAGGATATACTCTTTCAGCGAATTTTTAATAATTATCTAAAAATAATACTAATTAAAAAATATATACCTACCTGACATAAAATTAAATTGTTACTTTAAATTAATTTCTTTATGGGTTTGATCCAATGATCTCATTTAGCAATTTTTTTAATTCATATTCAGAAAGTATATACATCATAGTTAACGAATAAATAAAAAAAATTTCAACAATTTCTCCCTCAAAATAATTAATATAAACGGAGTACGGGAAAACGCACGGAAGCCATATTGTGACGTTACCCCTCGTCTAGAGCACATACTTGACTGTACCCCACATACTTTATATGATATATGTAGCTTTTGCAAATTTAAACTAACAAACTTAATTAAAAAACAAACGTTATTCCAAGTTTTCTGTATGTATGTATAAAATCTAATAGCTTTCTGCTATTTTTATGTTCATTTTTATCTTAGATCTGTAATATTTAAAAACTTATTATTTTCTAATTCTATTACTAAAATGTAGTTTTTATTATTGTTCAATCCTTTCATCCTTTAAATGGTTTAAGTATCTACTGTTGGATGGTGTACACTAGATAGAGCAAAACTAGAATTATAATTTCTCTAGCATTAGCATTAACACACTTGTGAAGTTATTTAATATAAAATAAATTAAACTATTTTAAACTTTTTCATGCAAATCAGAAACTCGAAGAGTTTTCCAATATTTAAACAATAAATTTTCTACGTTAACTTATTTGGAATATCTACAAATTAAAAAAAATTCTTATGCAAATTTGCCATATTTATAAGGAAAAGCATAAAACATCTTTCCTTGAGAATGTTACTTTTCTTCCTCCCCTTCCATTTGTTTCGAAACTTGATGATATATTTCTTGTTTCAGGTAAATCATCTTCAAAGAGAAATTGAAATTACTCAATTTGGCGGCAACACCCCAGATATCTGAATACATCTTCCAATCTGCACATTGCGTAATACGTAGGTATACTTAAAAATTTTATTTTAAATTAGGTGCTTCTAGAATTTCAGTTAAAAATATATTTTTTAAATTTAATCGTTATAAATATATGAACATAGGTTGCTAAGTTTTCCACATAGATAACGTTATCATGAAACTTCTCACAATTGTTCTTAAAATCGTAACAGGGTAATGTTTTTCTTTTTAAACTGCGCATGCGCGCTGATAGAGATATTTAGTGATATGTGGTTGCCAGCATTGCGTTGCGCATAACCTCCTCTATAACCACATGTTCTTGGATTATTGATAACTCATATAGTGTTAGTGATATTATTATCTGAGTTCATCGTGTTTAAGTGTTAGTGACGATTTTTGAAATGTGCGATTTTCTGGAACAACGATGCAACGTAAAATTTTGCTTTAATCTGAGGAAAACTTAAACGGAAGCGTCTCAATTTTTTAAATAATCTTACGGAGATGATGCTTTGGATCATAAGCAATGTTACGAATGATTTTCACGATTTAAAAGAGATTGTCAGTCAATTGAAGATGATCTTCGACCAGGAAGACCTTGCACATCAATTGATGACTCCCGCGTTCAAGGTCAAAGATCTGGTGAATGCAAATCGCCGATTGACTGTCAGAGAAATTGTAGAAAAGGGTAGCATCTCAATTTGGTCATGCCATGAAATTTTAACTAGAAAATTCAACATACATCGAGTTGCAGCAAACTTTATTCTGTGCTTGATGACCGAACAACAAACAGAAAATTGTGTGGACGATCCAATGACGATGAAACATTCATTTGAAGGATCATAACGGGAAACGATAATAGGCTTTACGGCTACAATATTGAGACACAAGTTCAATCATGTCCAATGGATTGACAAAGGATCTCCACATTCCAAGAAAGTAAATCAGTCTCGATCCAACCTCAAAGTGATGCTTACTGTTTGTCTCCACTTTAATGGAATTGTGCATTTTGAATTCGTACCTCAGTGTGAAACAGTGAACCGTATGTAATATCAAAGTGTTTTACAACGGTTGCTAGAAAAAAACCGCAGAAAGATATACAACTCATGATTCTTGCATCATGGCAATGCGCCCGCACACTCAGCTTTGTCAATTTTTCATCTTTGTGCCAAAAATCAGATTACTGTAGTTCCGCACCCTCCTTACTCGCCAGACCTGGCTCCTTGCGATTTTTTCTTATTTCTAATATTAAAATCAGTACTGAAATGACGCTGAGAAAAGTGTGTCAATAGGGGACGGGAATACTTTGAAGGAAACAAGCAACAATAATGTATAAAATTTATAATAAAGTTTAAAAAACTGGAGTTCGGTTATTTTCGGAACAGACCTCGTATATCATTAAGTATAACAATATACATAAACTTTGAATTGTGTAAATACGGAAGTCAAAATTGTGAATTACTATAAAAAATTTTATTCACATATATCAGTGTCTTTTGTGAACCATTGATTGGACATTTTACAGCAACCTTTTGACTAATTTTTGGCGGTAATTCCGCTCACCAAAACAAAAACAATATGAACAACATTTCCTAAAATTCCGAATTATTGTACGACAGATAATCTTTCATAAATAAACCATTTGGAGATAATACTTTTGTGCCTCTTAAGATTTTCCTTAGAATGCACCATTGGTGGTTGGAAGTTCAAAAACCATGAAAAAGTTGAGCATATTTCCAACACTGGAGCATGAATGAAAATAAGGACACCTAACATAAAGTTTTGCATAATTCCACTTTTTTTTTTTGAATAAAATGTAGACAGATGGATAGATTAATTCTATTTTATAATTAAGAATCGCCAATTTTTGCGAAATTTGAGCAAAATAATCGCTGATCCGTTGATATCGAGTGTCTAACATTGTCAACTCAAGAAGCCTCATAAACTATACCATATACTTTTTTCTTTGATCACTGAAATCCGTCAGATAAGGGAACTGGGCAGAATCAAATTTGTCTATAGTTTTATTGGTACTTTATCAAAAACTATATTTCAAGGGATATTTTTGTAGTGAAGTAAAGCCTTTAATAGTCCATTTAGAATATCTCGATACTCTTGTTTTTTAAATATTTTGACAAAAGTGATCAGCTCTAAAAGTTTATCCCAAAGTCACTGTTAGTATCGACAGAAATGTTACGAACAATGTAATTATTTCCTAGTATGCACAATGTCTAGGCATAATGACTGGATATTAAATTATCTTTCAATCAGATCAAATGATAACCTATTATACGTGATATCATTATTTTGTTCAAAGTGGCAATTAAAGAAACTTTGGAAGAATTTCATCGAAGCTAATTACGGAAAATAAGACTGAGAATCTTGGCAAAAGAAATGATCTTCTTTTATTCAGTTTTATAAGCACACTAAGTAAACAGTTATCGGTTCTCCCATATCCTTAGCTCTGGCAAACATTTACATGCAAGTCTTCGGAAGAAATATCTGCAATCAGCAACTCTAAAGCTAAAATGTCGGTTCAGATATAACTGGACTTATCGACATAATTACTAAACAATATCACTAAAATATGTCAGTTTCACTATAAAACTAGAAGAAAATGACTCTTCCATTTACAGAAAGCCAACCCTCAGGAATATCTTGGACAAAAATAGATTGAAGTTGTAGAAAATTTTCGTATAATTTCAAAATTTAAAAATACTATAGAGTGTTGCATTTCGAAGATGCAAGCCAAAAATATGTTTTTTGAAAGAATACCCTAAGTTGGTCAAAGAGTGACTTAAAGTGTTCGCCTAATAACCGATAGAATTATATGGCTTCAAAGTAAATAACACATGATATAAAATAACATTTGAAAATTTGTAGCAGGTACAACGTGGAATAAAAATTTATAACAACTTTTTAATTATTTTTTGATGTCAAATAGCAAGATAATACAGATGCCCCACAAGTGCGCAGCGCTATATCTTCAGCATTAGACAATAATAAAATTACTCAAAAACAATTTTTTAGAGTAACTGAAAACATCTTGATTAGCTGCCAGGTGTCGAGTTAAAAGTCATTCTTCGCACCGCCTTATTTGATTTGAGAATTAAATTAAATTTCGTTTGTGAAATGCAAAGACCGGTTTGCGTAACAAAATATCTCCATTTCTCAGCTTTCCGCTTTGTTTGCACCTAAAAAGGTTATATAACGGAATTTTCCAAACTTTGCAGGAATATAGACCCTAAGTAGAGCTCGATTGCTTTCTCGTTTCTGTATACATCAAATTTTTAATAAGATGTCTGGATACAAACCTAATACTAAATTTTAATTATATAAACAAAACGTCTTCTATTATAAATTCAGGAGACTCAATAAGCAAAATATTTTCTTGTGAAATTATAATCCACCTCGTCGGCAATGAAATAAATAATGAAATATATTTTGATCCCTTAATCCTGTTATCACAGACCTTATATAGTACCTGTACTTACATAGTATAACAGTGACGTTGCCATAAATTTTGGGGACCGATGACCGCTTCCTCTTGTCAAATCAAACAAAAAGAAATAAGGTTATAATAGAAATTCATTGAAGATATCAAAACTGATACGGTGCACTTAAACTTCAACCAATAACTAAGCAATTGCTAAACCAACAAAAGAGTTTTTAAATATTATGGAAAACAAGTACTTCACCCGCTATATGTCATGATCGGCATTGATTTACACCCGCAATCTAGTAAATAGCTCAGATCAACCACCAGGAGAGTCACCAAATGCAGACAGACATTACTTATTTAAAAATCAAATTTTTAAATAAGTAATGAAACAGCTTATGGAAAACGGGTTATATGCCCCAAGAGGCGTACATTCCCAATATCTAGCAAATAGATCTTACATCAACGAAGTCAGCAAACACAGAACAGTTTCGAACTTATTTATTCTCGTCAGTATTTGAATGCAGGAGCACATTGCTCTTGGAGTAGTAGCTTCTCACATTGTCATTATTTAAAAAGTTTATCCTATCTAGTGCGATCCTAGTCTTTTTGTACCAGGAGGTACGAGGTAATGCTTTGTGTCAGTAGGCATTAAGTAACAATGACATTTAAAATGTATCATATGGCATAGGTATGCATTAGATGTTATATCTCACCCACACTGAGAATTTGAAGCAGTCAACAAAAAATTATGAGGCGGTGGAGAAAATCTTCTTCCACATGCTTCGATAGATAATTTATAATGAAAACTTTCTTATCCCTTGAGTAAATCTTTAAATTATACTTATTTTTAGCTTCGTTGTTCTGCTAAGACTAATTCTAATAATGCCATGGCTTTTGAAAAATTAAGTTGGGAAAAACTCGACCGCCAAAAATTTTTAAGACGTGGTATATCCAAAAATAAATAAGGTTCTACGTACTTTGTTATACAGAGTATTTTTTAAGTACATATCATAACTTCAAGAGAGCATTTCTTCAATTATTTAGGTTGAAAAGTTTTAATGAATCTTGTAATGCCAGTGGTTTCTGAGGATGCCTGATGCAGATTTAACAAATTTGGGCTAATGGTTTAACTAACTAAAGGCGACATTTTTCCAAATTGGTACACCAATATGTCAACCAGTCACTACTGGAGATACGGGTAGGTGCTATAATTGAAAATTCAGAATTTCTACGTCAAGTTTTTTGGAAATTCATTCAGTTCATTTAGTTCTTAATTGCACGTCAAAGAAAGAAGATATTTATCATTTTGTTCGCGACATGAGTCATTTCTATGTTATCCCTTTTTTAAACTTATAATGATCTTGTGTTACAAATGAAAATAACTCCCAAATTTATCGCTTCTCTTAAAAAAAAATAAGTATTGTTTAATTAAGTAATAAGACATTGTTTTTTCCACATTTGATAGTTACGCTGTATTTAAAATAGATCAACTAGTTTCGGATATACATATACATATAGTAGGTATATTAAATGTATTCAAGTGTGTAAAGTTGTACCGAAGTAATTTGCAGAA